AAACCTTAATTTCATATCCAGCATAGCAGAACGACTGTATAAAAAGGACTATTCAAAAAATCTGACATTTTTACTCTGCCAACAAAGAAGCAAAAAGCTCATGTATTTTCTGAAACACTTTTAGTCTGATCAGTTTCTGTGCTGTGCTTCTGACTAACTTTAAAAAAATTACATAAAAACTGCTGATACCTTGCTTGATAACGGTATGTACCGAATCAGCAAGTGTACCGTACAGATTTCCTTTGTATTCACCATACTCCAAGAATCGACCCTGTTTGATCCATTGCTCCATATCTTCACGCTTAGAAAAATAATAATCCACTCCTTCTTTTTCATTACTGCTGCAAAAACAAAAGCAATTTTCTTGCCTCGCAACCAAAATTCTTACTGCAAACGCTTGCTACACAAAAAAGACTTCTCAAAACATCATCTTACTTTATTCACTAATTCTTACAGGCCCTTTTTTTGCCCGTTCAAACTACGTTTCTCAACATACATTGTAGGCTGTGTTTGACAAATCAAAAAATAAACCACTTTCAACGCGATCGTACCGTTGAGGGCGACTCGTATGAGGCACAGTTGCCGCATAATGATCGCTGTTCTTCGCGATCAACCGTTTTTTTAATTCGTTTCGTCCAACACCCGGTGGTCCCACCAAAACGATCGGCCGTATAACGGTCTTACTCGGATAAAGTAGCGACACTGACTCATACAGCAGGCTGTCTGTCTAGAATTCGCTAAATTAGTGAAATGCCATGCAAAAAATGACAGACTGGTTTTTGGAGTGTCGCTGAATTTGCTTTATTCAATGTTCCAAGCACATTTTATTAAAAAGAACCTCATTGGTGGCTCTCGAAAGTTTCCGACTTCCACCTTTACTTTTTTCATTTTCTCGGGCCGTTCGTCGTTTCTGCTGTAGATGCTCGGACGGTATGAGGCCCACTCGTTTTCCCTGTTGACTTGCTAAATCGAGAAATACTCGTTACAAAACTTCAGTGCTTACTTCTCATCAATATAAACTTCAGTGCTTTCATCAAAATATCGAACTGAGTAACCAAAAAAGTTGCTTCTTTAAGAGAATAAATGCAAAATGAGGGAGAATTACGATCGGATCCAAACGGCAAAGCAGCAAAGGAGCCATGTCCAAGTGATCGTGCCTGCCACC